TTCTTTTCCCTTTACCCTCTCCTCCCTGCAAGTAACTAGTACAATTTATGAGATGAATGTTATTTATTCATGAAATATATAACGTTCGTTTATGTGCATATTTAAGTTGACATAAATGGCACTACCCTGTAGATCAGTACCTGTTTGTCTCTTATTTTTAACCTGGCAAAGATTTTAAGATGAGTCCACTTCCTTATGTTAATACCTACTGTGGTCTGTTAATTCCAACCTCTGCCATGTATTTCCATCATTTGCATTAACTACACTCTCAGTGACCATTTATCCCCGTACTCTCTCCTCCCCATAAATAGACACCCAAGAATAGAGTTTCTTGGTGATGGGGTGCACATGTGCTGAGCTTAACTACATGCTGCCAGACTGCTCCAGAATGGTTATATTCATCTGCATTCTCAATAAAATAATTACATGGTTGTAAGTTGTAAGGTTTTTATTCAGTTTTTAAACCCATTTTTAATCATGAATTCTCACATCGTAGAGTAGAAATAAACTAGAACAACCTTTTATGCAAGTACAGTCTCCCTCCCTTGGGGAAGTCAAGGTCCCCTGACCCTACAACCTGGTCAACACATGGCATTTTCTGGTTCCTAACTTTTTCCAATATGGTGGCACTTAGGTAATGTGTCATTTTTGCTCCAATTTACGTTTGCTAATCACTAATGAAGCTGGGCTTTTCTTCAGATGCTTGCGATACTTTTGGATTTCCTTTCCTGTGAATCAGCTTTATCAATTGCCAAAACATTTCTAATTTTTTCTAAAAGAGTATGATTTCAACTATTTTTGTAACAAAATAGTAGACATAAACAAAAGTGACGAATTATGTAGTGCCTGCTAGATGTGAGGTATTAGAAAGATACTTGTGGAATGAATAAAATGGGTAAAATTCATGAGCTTTTGTGTGATATATGCTTGATGTTCAATAATCTGTAAGATTTTTGCCAACTGAATAATTTTAATCGATAAAGATATTTTTGAGGTAATGGCAAATGTTAAACTGAGAAATAGCATAACATAAAATTTTATACTATAAAGATAAGAATAGCTTTTGCCAGTTTAGGGAGTATACAAAATTAAATAGACCTAGAAGCTATGGAACATTTACTTGATAATGTTTTTTGTTGATTAATTTTGTAAAAATTAGAAATTCTAAAATTACTTCATTGTTGTCTTTGCTGGCATTTAGTTACCTATTAAGTATGAAATTTTGAGCAAGAAATCATCAGGGGTGTGTGTACAGCACATCCAAACTATGTCTTAGTTATCTTATTAGAAGCTATTAGGATGGGTGCGTTGGAGGGATAGAAGTATCATCCGTGCACTCTCAACTTTGACCAATGTATGCCACAGAATTTGTGATAATTTGAACATAAAGAAAATAAAAAGCTAATTCATAATGCTAAGTAGCAAATATCATCATTCGTGTGTATGATACTGGAATTTCATCTTGTCTCCTGGCTGGCTCGCCAGATTTGATACCAGACTTTCAGGTTCTTGGTCTCGGTGATTTGAAGAATAAATCCGCAGACCACAGATCAGTGGCAAGACAGAATTTATTTACAGAAAAGAATACAAAAACACTAAAGTTTCTAGTAGGGAGAGAAAACCCAAGTTGGGAGAGAAAAGCTCTCTCCGTTTTTCTCTCTCCGTCTCTCTCCGTGTAGCCATAGATATAGGAGCATGGGTTGAGGCCAGGAAATGAATGGATACAGTTCCATCCACTGGGGGAAGGTGAATGAACGTATTAATGAATGGATACAGTTCCATCCACTGGGGGAAGGTGAATGAACGTATTAATGAATGGGCATAGTTCCATCCACTGGGGGAAGGTGAATGAACGTATTAATGAATGAACACAGTTCCATCCACTGGGGGAAGGTGAATGAACGTATTCATGAATGGACATTCACAGAATTGAGGCCTAGGAAACTTACATGAAATTGACCTAGGCGTAGGAAATAGGGGTTCCATATTTAGTCGTAAATGTAAAGGGAAGGAGACACCAAGGTGCCGGTGTCTCCCCAGCAGTTGTCGAGTCCCTTTGGCTACTGGAGCCTCCGGTGGGGGAGGGAGGCCCCTCTTTCTTTGCCTAGCTCCAGCCCGCTGGGGGTTCCGCTGCCAGCTGCTGCACCACCACCACCAAGGCGGAGGCGGCGGGTCCTCCAGCCCAGCTCAGCTAAGCTGGCAGGGCGCCACCTGTTCTGTATCATGTACACTACCTTACAAAAATCTTTCTAAAACACCATCAGTAAAAAAGCTACTTTAAACTTGAAAATCTTTACCTTAAAACCTGTTGAATGATGAAATGCTGCCTTGTTACTTTCACAGAGTACAATGACTTTCAACAGTTTTTTGCAGGCATTTTTAAATCGCTTATAGGATTTTACAGTTAAGTATTTTTCAAATGCAGTGTATTTGAAACCACATATTTAATTTTCACAACTACTAAAACTGTCTTATAAAATAAATAAGGTGTGATTTGTTTTACCTATATTTCACTTCCTATTTGAATATGGTTCTTGCAGGATTTGATGGAAGTTAGAGAGATAGTAGCAGGGGCGAGTGTTACTAAATGACCGTGTTGAAGTAGTCATCATCCTCATCGTGTACCACCATGGGTATCACACCAGGATCAAAGACTTGGCTGAATCTTTTGGGCTCTGGTGAGAAGCTGAGGGGAGGGAAAAGAAGGTCAGCTCCCCTGGGATGGGCAGAGTGGATCCTGTAGTTCATGGTGTCAGGTATATATATCTAGGCAAGACCCTGGTTGTCTGGATAATATTTTAAGTGATTTCATTAAGAATACTAAATAATTTTCCTTTTTATGACTAAAAGTATCCTTCTTTTTACGAGACAGTTAAGTTTTGCAAATTCTCCCTTTACTTTGAGGTATAAAGAACAAACAGGTAAAAGCAACACAAAAAACATGAAAATAATGTGCCTATTTCATTCATAGAATATACTGCTGCAGAAATGTGACAATGCAATTTTTAAATTATAACATCTTAATTTGCTCCCATTCAAAATCATCTATTCAAAAATGTGCTTTTTCTCCTGACTTAAACACCAGTGTTGTGTTTTCCTCTTCCAGCGTGCTGCGTTTTTCTTTAGTAGTGTTGTCACTGTCTTTTACGTAATTTTCTTATTTTCTGTGTGCAACAGCCTGGGATGGTTGAAATAGACATAAGGCCCACCTGAAGATAAAGTTTTCTTGGAGTAAGTTACGGAACAGTATTTGGTTTGTGTGCTTGTGAGCCTCTTTGCGGACTGCTTTGCCTTTTGACTATAGTGTAAACGCATTTCCCTCACTTACTTGCAACTGACAGTATGTTTTTCAGTGTACATCATGATCATTAATACTTTCATGTTTAATTATTATGAGTACATAATAGTTGTATATCTCTATGGGACACATGTGATGTTTTGATACAAGCCTACACATCAAGTCAGCCTTGCTGGGGTATTTAACACCTCAAGCATTTATCTTTGTGTTAGGAACCTTCTAATTTCACTCCTTTAGTTACTTTAAAGTATGCTCTTATTTTTTATTATAGTGACTCTGTTGTCACTATATTGTTCATGCTCTCTAACTTTCTAACTATATTTTTGCACCAATTAGCCATCCCTCCTTCTTCCTCTACCCTTAACAACCCTTCCTGGTAACCAGCATTCTACTCTCACTCTACATGGGGTCAGTTATTTTTAATATTTAGCTCCCACATATATGTGAGAACATGCAAGATTTGTCTTTCTGAGCTTGGGTTATTTCAATCCATGTCCAAATGGTAGGTTTTAAAGAGACAATCATGCCATGTTTGGAATTTTCCATCAAAATCAGTGGGGAGCAATAGGAAATTTCACAGAGGCGTATGTGAAGCCGTTAGAAACTGAATTGTTCAACAGTTATTTCTTTTGATTTAAATTACAGCATAGTTATGGAAGACAGACATTTATCTCTGGTAAAACTGGGAAAATTTTGCAAATTTTTGGGCACGACATTGAATGGTTTCATCTAATATTTATTCATTCAGCTCACACAGCCACTCCTAGTAGGACAATGTGAGTCATACCAGAAATGCAACCTCTGAATTATTTTGACAGCACATATAAAATGGACAAAAGAAATAGATGTAATATATTGAAATACTAATGTGTTACTCTTTCTCATATGAAATTATCATTCTAGAGAGAAAAAAATAAAATGACCTGTCCAGGGAAGCTACATGTTTGCAGGAACCAACACAAAATGAAAATATATGCTTTTTGTTCAAATGTCATTAAGAATTCTAAGATACCAGCAGAGCATTAAACCAAGTGTGGGCCTTTTCTTTGCATAGGGTCTTTACTACTGCATAGATCACAGACCTGGGCAGCTGCCATTCCTGCAACAATCCTGTTACTCTTCTATTCTAGAGTATCTGGCACACAATGAAGAAAAAGACACAAAATGACAATCTGTTACATCTGGGCAAAAGCAAAGCTATGATAGTTTCTGAAGGGGCGCTACACGAGGAAATCCTAATGTTTTTTTCTTTTTTTTCTATCACTTCTGTATTCTACCACTTTGTCAGAATACAGAAATCTATACTCCACTAGTTTCCTTCTCACAAGAAAATTATATTGGTGGTTGTAATTGCTTCTTTTTTTTTCCTTCCTCTACAAAATTGTCCTAAGTAACATATATATATTTAATATTATACACGTAGCAGTGTGAACAAAATGCATGCATTTGATAATATTGTATTTATAGGTTTTCAAAAGGAAAATTTTGCATGTTATGTTATGTATCTTTTATGTGCTCCGGTAAGTTGATGTGATCAAACTACATCAAGGTTTTGGTATAAATATTCCAGAGAACTTTAAACTGCTGTTCTCTGAAATGGTGTGCTGAGCTGGTTTTTAAATGCAATGTTCTATGTCCCACGTGCCCAGACTAGAGATAGAACGCATGCTTGTTTGATTTTTATTCCATTTTCTCTTTTCAGGCATGCAGGTGTTGGAATGGAATGGAATTCCCTTAACCGCTAAGACATATGAAGAAGTCCAGAGTATCATTAGTCAGCAAAGTGGGGAAGCAGAAATATGTGTAAGACTGTGAGTTTTTCCCCATCTTTCTGTTTCCATTTTTTTGGCTACTCATGGCTCTTTTAATTTAAAATTGTTAAGGTGGAACCTTTGCCAGTCAGCAAGATTTTTCTGTAACTAGAAAATAAAGTAAATACAAGTTTTATAGATTTGTGTTTGGAATCCAAGTCGAAAGCAGAGAAAGAATTCAGCTAATTTAGTTTCTGATCGTGTCAACAGCTCTCCTCTTTCGTGCTTTTATTGAAACTTGCTTCATTTAAATGAAAGCCTGAACCCACTTAGATTTCATGGATGTATAGTACTTAAAGATGAAATTACCTCTAATCCATAAAGATTTCACCTTAAATACTCATTTTGATCAGCTCTGACGTTTAAAAGCATTGCAAATCTGCATTGGTTTAGAAGGGTGAGCATGCTTTGGAGTTGCTTTACATCATTAACCACTTCTCATTTACCTACTGAAAGAAAATAATTCAAGGTAGTTGGAAAAGATGGCCTTTTGTCAGAGGCTTCCTCTGTGTTTTTCTTAATGTTTCGTTTTAAATTTTAGGGACCTCAATATGCTATCTGATTCTGAAAACCCCCAGCACCTGGAGCTTCACGAGCCACCCAAAGCTGGTAAGTGAAAGCGATTTGCCTTCCCCAGGGACCAAGCTGGAGCTGGAGAATCAGGTGCGGAGGGAGTGGAGTCGAGGGAGAAGAAATACTTATAAATGTAGCTGCAGGCAAAGATACAGTTACAGGTTTTATATATTTACATAATTATAAAGAAAATTAAAAGCGTGGTAGCTGTACCTTTAGCATCTCAGGGTAACACATCTTTATTAGCATGTTAGACCCATTAAAGAAATTCATGAAATCCTCGCAGTGTAAGCTCATACTTTTAATTGTTTTAATAAATTAATTTTGTAAAGCAATTTATGGAGCCCAATTTCTTTGGTCTTATGTAATTCTTATTTTTTATTTTGTTTTTTAGGCAGGGTCTTGCTCTGTTGCCAGAGTTAGGGCACAATGGCTAGATCCTAGCTCCCTGGCTGAACTCCTGGGCTCAGGTGATGCTCCTGCCTCAGCCTCCCAAATAGCTGGGACTATAGGCTCATCCCACCATTTTGGCTATTTTTTCTATTTTTGTAGAGACAGGGTCTCACATGTTGCCTAGGCTGGTCTTGAACTCCTAGCCTCAAGAGCTTTTCCCACTATGGCCTCCCAAAGTGCTGGGTTTACAGGTGTGAGGTACCATGCCTGGCCAGGTATTATATAATTTGTAGATATACTTGATTCTTTTTAGCATAACTAGATTTTGAAACACTTATTCCTGAACTTTTTGAGTGCTTTTTTTTTTTTTGAGACAGAGTCTTACTATGTCACCTTCAATAGAGTGCCTGGCATCACAGCTCACAGCAACCTCAAACTCATGGGCTCCAGAAATTCTCTTACTCCCAAGTAGTTGGGACCACAGGTGCCTGCCACAATGCCCAGCTGTATTTTTGTTGGAGTTGTCATTGTTGTTTAGCTGACCCAGACCAGGTTTGAACCTGCCAGCCTAGGTGCTGTAACCACTGTGCTACAGTCGCCAAGCCTTGAGTGCCTTTTTATAATAAAAATCAACACATAATTTTGTAAGTATATAAGAAATAGATTGAACTCTTGGATAACAGATATAATCCACAAATTTATTAGATGAATTATAAAATTAAAAGTGACCACTTTTTTCCAATGTTCAATCTGTTAAAAAGAGTTAAATCTATTTTTTGAGCATTTCCTATGCTTATGCCACAATTTAGGAGTCTGGGTTACTGTACTAAACAGCGCACACTAAGTCTAAGCACACAAGAATTATACTATCTTTACAAATATAAATGTACTCCTTGAAATTTTCACCTTAGAGAAGTATATAAGATTTAGAGAAGGGAAAATAGCCAGTCATACAAATTAAGTCCAATGGATAAAATAGGATATTGCATCATTCATACAATTTACTGTATAAAACAGTAAAAAAAAATATGAAGATGTAATGGGAATTTCAATGTCCCTTTGTCATTTAACATTGTGTCACTTTTCTCTGAGCCTTCTAGAATTCCTAAGAAATGGGTACGTGAAAGTGCCCTTAGTTAATTTAAGTTTAAAAGTTTCGCTTACTTTATATGTAATATCTTGCCTTTTTCACCTAGAACTCGAATAGTTCCTTGTTATTAAATGTCCATGAAAGAAAGAAACATATAAAGCTATTTCATTTATTAAATGTCCATGAAAGAAAGAAATATACAAAGCTGTTTCCTTTTGTTGTAGTGGATAAAGCAAAATCCCCCGGGGTTGATCCGAAGCAGTTGGCAGCAGAACTCCAGAAGGTTTCGCTACAGCAGTCACCGCTGGTTCTGTCATCGGTAGTTGAAAAAGGATCTCACGCTCATTCAGGTCCTACATCAGCGGGATCCAGTTCAGTTCCCAGCCCTGGGCAGCCAGGGTCGCCCTCAGTGAGCAAGAAGAAGCACAGCAGCAGCAAGGTGAGAGGTGTGCCCGGGACCTCTGTCCGGCCTGCTCCCTAGACCTCCACTCACCAGAGATAAGACGGACAGCAGCCTTTTCTGAAGTGTGCGTCTTGTGATTTCTCATACCCTGCGGATCTATCGCAACAAAAACATTTTTCCTCTTCTGACATATAACTAATCAATACATATCGAAATGATGTATTTCCATATCTCTTAAAATATTTCAGTGGTTATTATTATAAGGAACTTGAAAAATGCCTCATGCTTCATTTTTCGTGGTTCTTTCTCTTAGCTGGTGCATGAGTTGTTGTTTGTGTGTGTGTGTGTGTGTGTGTAGGATATTAGCTTTGCATCGTTTTGGAAATAAAAAAAGATAGACTTTACATTAAATTTTATATTTAAGTAAAAAGTAAAAAAGACATAGTGAGATCATTTAAGCTATAAATAAGAGAAAACAGTAATGTATTATCACCATTTTGAATTTTATTTCTAATTCCATACTAATAATGTCTTCTTGTTGCAAATCTTCATTTGAAATGTTTCCAAAACTATTATCTCAAAGTTGGTAGGGAATTAAAAGGGAACATAGAATTAATTTTTAACCTTATAAAAACCAAATAAAAATGTAAACACTTTATAAAATGTCCCTCATAATTTGGATTTCTGAGAAAAACTATCGCTATGGTTAATAAAATCATGGGGAAAGTATTCTCGTGTTTAAACATGAGTACAAGTTTGTCTTTATGTGGTGAGATATATGCGAGAGGCAGGCTATGCTTAGACATCAAAAAATAAAGATTATTAATACAACCTTTTTGGAAGAAAGTATAGAGAATCCTCATAGAACTCAAATCAGACCTCCCATTTGATCCTGTAATCCCATTATTAGGCATCTTCCTAGAAGAAGAAAAAATCAATTTATTACAAGGACATTTGCACTAGACTGTTTATCACAGCTATGTAGCAATGATCTAAATGATTATCACCAAAATGTAGCAATGATCTAAATGCCCATCTACCTGGGAATGGATTAACAATCGGTGCTATATGTATACCATGGAATACTATTCAGCCATTAAAAAAGATGGATACTACATCTTTTGTATTAATCTGGATCAAGTTGGAACACATTATGCTTAGGAAAGCATCACAAGAATGAAGAAGCAAGAATGTATTCAGTTGTAATGTGAAGCCAGTAGATGATCTAATACATAACAACATAAGAGAAAAACTCAAATCAATTCAAGGTGGGGGATGGGGGAAGGAAGGAGAAGGGATCAGGGAGAGGGAGAGGTTGGGTGGTATGGTATATGGCACACCTTTTGGAGGCAGGACAAAATTATAAGAGGGACTTTACTTAACAATACAAACAGTGTAACCTAATTTTATATACCTTCAATGAACCTGAAACAATAAAAAGATAAGTTTGTTTTACTAACTATAAAAATGCAGCATATGTCACAAAAAATCCCTTTACACAGAAGCAAATAACAAAGATAGGTTGACCTTAATTGTTGCATTATAAATGACTTGCTTCAAATTAAATATAGCAAAACTTCACTAACAAAGTAATTTCAAAGCCAGTTAGACTGAATTTCAAAATACATTTTAACACAACTACATTTTACCACGTGCAGTTATATGTTAATTTTGAAGAGTTGCCTCATGGAGTCTCTATTTTAATAATTGTTATAAAATAATTTATAAATTAGTCCAATCAAATGCCAACCTAATTAGTACTAGATTGATTTTTAGATGTTTCTATGTTATCAAAATATAATTTGAATGTATTTGAAGACAATTTCTTTTCAAATTTAGTAACCACTATAGAATGGAATATTAATTATGTTTTAATTTTTTATTTATTTTTTAATTCACAGACAAAAGTTATATAACTATCCTGTACAAGATGATGCTCTGAAGTATTCATACGGACACATTTTGAAATGGCTAAATTGAGCTGATTAACATTACCATGTGGTGACAAACTTAAAATTGACTTTCTTAGCAATTTTCAAGAAGATAATTGTGATTAGTCACTATGTTGCACACTAGATGATTTGAACATATTTCTCCTACATGACAGAAATTTGGTACCCTTTGACCAATCCTTCCCTTCTTCACAACACCTTGTAGCCACCATTCTCCTCTATGAGTTGAACATTTTTGGATTCCCCATATGAGAGATACCATGCCTGAATTGTCCCACCTTAATATCATGTCTCCAAGTTCATCCATAATGTCACGAATGACAGTTTCTTCTTTTTTAAGGCTGAGTAGTTTTCTCTACCATCCATTGATGGGTACTTAGGTTGACCCCAGCATCTGGGCCGCTGTATTTAGAGCTGCAGTGAAGATGGCAATGCAGATGTCTTTGCAACACACTGATTTCATTCCCCTTGGATATATTCCCAGTATGTGCAATGGGATTGTCGGATCATGTGGTGGTTCTATGTTTAATTTTTGAGTAGCTTCCACATTGTTTTCAATAAAGACAATTCTCATTATTTCTAGTTGAGTTTGAGAAGGTGATGGGTTTCCAGGTTTTGATCCATTTCCTCTACATTTTCATATTTCTGGGCACAGTTTTTACAGTGATTGTTAAGGACCTTTAGTATTTCTGTCAGATCTGTTGTCATTTTCCCTTTCTTGTTTCTGATTGTAGTTATTAGAGATGTTATTTTCTGTTTCTGGTTAGTCTGGCCAAGGATTTATAAATTTTATTAATCTCAAAACCCAATTTTTTGTTTCAGTGATCTTCTGAATGATTCTTGTGTTTTCAAATTCATTTCATTCTGCTTCAATTTTGGTTAGTCCTTGTCTTCTGCTGTGTTTGGGGTAGGATTGTTCTTCCTTTCCTAGTTGCTTCAGATGGTCCATCAGGTTGTCACCTTGCTCTCTTTCTGTATTCTTGATGAAGGAATTTAGTGCCATAAATTTTTCTCTTAGGACAATTTTTGCAGTGTCCCACAGGTTTTGACAGCTTCTGGCTTCATTACTGTTTTGTTCAATAAATCTAATTTCCTTCTCTTTGTTTGTTTATTTATTTATTTATTGAGAGTCACTTTGTCACTCTTGGTAGAGTGCTGTGGCATCCAAGCTCACAGCAACCTCCAGCTCTTAGGGTAAGGTGATTCTCTTGCCTCAGCCTGCCGAGTAGCTGGGACCATAAGCTCCCACCACAACACCCAGCTATTTTTTGTTGCAGTTTGGCCAGGGTCAGATTTGAACCCACCACCCTCAGTATATGGGGCCGGTGCCCTACTAACTGAGCCACAGGCACTGCCCATGATTTCCTTCTCAATTTCATCTTTGACTCAGCTGTCATATAGCATAACGCTATATAGATTCCATGAATGTATTAGGGTATGAAGGTCTCTGTGGCTGTTGGGTTCAATGTTTATTCTCTGGGTCCTTCAATGGCATCTCATTTGATTGGAAAAACTAAGGAGAACAAACAGCATTGGAGTTCATTTATGTTGTTTTTTTAATACAGCAATAGTTGTGAGCCTTCTGGGGAAACTACATTAGACCCGATTATTCCCAAAATATTTTCAACAGTGCACCAAGGACCAGTCCTGAAACACTGCTTTAACTTTGGAAATCAGTGTTTACTTTCTTTATCCTCAATCAAGTATCTAAAAGAGAAATTTAATTTATTTTTACAACAATTGTAGGGTAACAATGATCTTAGGAATAACATGATCAAAATATTACATATGTGGTGAGCATATGTAATAACCACTACTGTTGTATCAGACTCTGTGTAAGTTGATTTGTGTGTAATAATTGATTTTAGACAAAAGGTAAGCTCCCACCCACTCTACAGATGAAAAAACTAAAAATCGAAAAATTTCCTTAAATTCTAATGCTAAAGTCACATGGGGTAATTACAGCCAGAATTTTAATCAGGATCAGTTTGACTCATAACCATAAACAGAGGCTCCTGACGACCAATACATTATGATACTTGTTCTCCGTCTTCCCAGCTGTATATACATGGGGGTATCAGTATGATCTCTGAACCAGGGACCATTAGAATGCATGTGTTGAAAGGGGTCCCCCAAAGTACTTTCACTATTTTATGGTTATTTCTGTAATATTTGAAAATAATTACACACAGATATGCAAACACTATCCGTACTCAAACCTGGAAATCCCTATACCATTCCATCATTTTTCCAGAAAAAATGAAATTGAAATTTACACATTGCTGCTTCAAGTTGTATGCTGATTTGACAGTATATGGAACAAAAAATGATTAGAGAATTAGGAGGACAAATGACCCCCCAAACAGTTCTAGGGCCTTGAAGGGCATCTCATTTTGTTTGGAGAAATTAATGGGTCCCAAAAACAATATATATTTACTTTGTTTCATTTGGGAAAAATTCCTGAGCATTTGGGGAATACTACATTAGGCCTCCCTATTCTCCAAATATTTTCTACTATGCACTGCAGACATGTCCCGAGGCCTTTGGTTTGACTTTGCAAATCAGTGTTTTACTCTCTTTATGTTCAATTCAAATGTCTAAAAGAGAAATTTAATTTACTTTTACTATAATTTTGGGGTTACAGTGATTTTTGGTTTCATCGGGTGAGAATATTACAAACATGATGGGCATACTTAATAACCAGGAATGTTGCATCAGTCATTATATAAATGGGTTCATATGTAATAATTGATTTTACAGGAAAAGTAATCCCCCCCACTCTGCAAATGAAAAACTGAGATTCAAAAAATTCATTCACCTGCCTGAGATCACATGTGGTGATTCCAGCCAGAATTTCAATCTGAACGATTTTGCCTCATAGCCTCAAATGGAAGCTTATCAGCATCAATATATTATAATTTTTGTACTCCATATTATTGGCTGCAGACCTATGGGGGGGGGTTCCACTGGTCCTTATGATCTCTGAAATTCCCCCATTGGTATGCAGATTTTCAAAGTATACCCTTATTGTTTTTCTTTTGGGGGGGTTATATCTGGAATATTTGAAAATAATTGCACACAAGTATTCAAACACAATTAAGGCATACTCAAAAGTGGAAACCCCCAAACTCCTACATCATTTTTTTTCTAGAAATAGGTCTTTTAGTATTGAAATTTACACATTGCTAGTTCAAGTTGCATGCTAACTTGAAAGCATATAGAACGACTAATAATTGGGTAATTTGGAGTACAAATGACCCCCAGAATAGTTCTAGAGCCTTGAGCAGCATCTCATTTTATTTGGAAAAACTGATGGGTTCAAACTGCGGTGAAGTTTACTTACTTTTTTACATTTGGGAAAAGTTCCTGAACTTTTGGTGATTACTACAATGGACCTCTCGGTTCTCCATGTATTTTCAACTATGCATTGAGGACTTGTCCTGAGATCTTTTGCTTTAATTTTTTTAGTGTTACTTTCTTCAACCTCACTCAAGTATCTAAAGGAGAAATGTAATTTACTCATGCTACAATTTTAGGGTTACAGTGATTTTAGGTTTAACATGGTCATAATATTACAAACATAGTAGTCATTCTTAATAACCAGGACTTTTGCATTTGACATTATATAATTTGGTTCATGTGTAATAATTCATTTAGATGATAGGTAAGTTCCCAACCTATTCTACAGATGAAAAAACTGAGATTCAAAGAATTCATTTACCTGCTTGATGCCACATGTGGTGATTGTAGCCATAGTTTTAATCTGGATAAGTTTGACTTATAACCTCAAATAGAAGCTCCTCACCACCAATAGATTATAATTCTTGTACTCAATATTATTGGCTACATAGATTGGGGGTGATAGTTCAGAAAGCATAATCTCAGAACACCCCCCTTTGGTATGCACCTGTTGAAAGTAATTCCCAAACGTATACTGTTATTGTTTGGTTTTGACTGTGTGCATGTGTGCGTGTGCATGTGCGTGTGTGTGTGTGTGTGGTTATTTCTGGAATATGTGTATCATGGAGTACTATTCAGCCATAAAAAAGATGGAGACTTTATATCTTTTGTACTTACCTGGATGGAGGTGAAACACATTCTTCTTACTAAGTATCACAAGAATGGAAAAACAAGTATCCAATGTACTCAGTACTAATATGAAACCAGTATATAAACAACTGTACACGTACACAAAACAAAAACACAAATAATGTCTAGCAAAGGGAGAGACAAGGAGTGAAATGGGATGAGGGAGGGGAAGATGATTGGCAGGTTCTCACATAATGTGCACATTATGAGGGTGTTCAGCACACGCCCTGGAGGAAAGGGCCCAACTACAACTTGAACTTTATGTTAGAAATGAAAACTATGTAAACTTAGACATTCTACCCTCATATTGATCTGAAATTTTAAAATAGACAAAGATTAAAAGAATGATAAATAAGAAAAGTAATATGACAAAAGAAAATTCCTTCAAAGTGGGATTATAATTACGTAACTATGAAATTAAACATGTATTTAAAAATATAAGTAGACACCATTATTCTGCAGCAGCCAAATGGATGGAATGTATTTTCCAGGCGCTGTGCTCTGATCAAATAAGAATTGATTTCAGGGGTAGCGCCTGTGGCTCAAGGAGTAGGGCGCCAGCCCCATATACCAGAGGTGGTGGGTTCAAACCCAGCCCTGGCCAAAAAAAAAAAAATCAAAACCCTTCCATCTCTTCAATTACTGACAATTCACTCTAAAAAAAAAACAAAACAAAGAATTAATTTCAGAATGTGATGAAATAATAAATTCTATGAAGAGTTTATCTACTAATTTAATATATGTTCTTTAATATTGCAGCCCACTGATGCAACAAAGGTTGTCTCTCATCCAATTACGGGGGAAATTCAGGTATGAATGTTTTTTAGACATCATCATATCATTTTTTGGTAGATTTTGCCACTTGTCTATGGAAATTGCAAACATACTGCTAGGATCATTCTTAATGTGAAAACATACAGAGTTGTAAAGGGAAGTGCAATTCTATAGAGTAATAATAGTCATATATTAGTACAATATACGAATTATGAAATCTGATCAGAGCTATGGATTCCTATACTTTGAGATCTGCCTGTCACCTTCGCATGGTCAACAGATTTTGTGCTTCACTTACTTTATGCTTCAGTGTATCTAGGGCATGAGAATTTAAAGTTTGCTCTTTAAGAATTTCATGAGTCTAATGGCTTTTGTTCTTCCTGTGATGAGCAATTGCTAAATAATTCCTGAATAATTTTTATAGAAAATTGTTTTTCTTATCATGAGTCATAGCCATTTTGTAAGTTATAAAATCAATTTAAGAGGTTTTTAACCAGGAAAATAGACTAAAGGAGTTTAGCTTACTATCTTTGTTAGTTCTATGAGTATGCCTTTCTATATTTGTGTACTACATAGTAATATAAAATACATTTCATCATGCAGATCTCGAAAAAAGTACTAGAAAAACTTCAAGTGATATCAAAAAGTAATTTACAATAGATAAGAAATGCCACATGGAAATAATTAACACAATATAAAATGATAATGATTTGAAGATAATAATTTGCAGATAGAGGAAAGAGACCACCATAGCTATATCTCCAGTATTTCCAGAAGAAATTTTTACAAATGACTTTGCAAAGGATAAAGATGTAAACTAATTTGAGGATAAGTTTAGAAAAAGAGATGGGGGCATTCCTGGAAGAAGAAATAGAACAAGGAAAGATACCAGTAATGAAATGAAGAGGTCAGCTTTGAGAGACAGGTGGAGACTAAATAAAAATAACTTTGAACACAAGTCTAGAGATCGTAGCATAATATAGCATGTCCTCTAAAAATTTTGGTTAAGAGGGACTATTTGAAAAGATTGTGCAGTAAAAATTCATGTGGCAGCGGCTTATAAGAACTATTACATAGGGGAGAACACAAAGGCAAATAAATCGATTAAGTGACTGTCTAGGAATGTACTGAGAACAGGCAAAAGTGGAGTGTCAATGTGGAAACAGAAAAAGAGCAGAATGAAAGACCTCACTAAGAAGAAATCAAACTGCTGAGCCTGATTGCTATAGACCACTCCAAACTTTGATTTCTGTGCGTTCCCCACTTCTGGAAAGCCTGTGTTTCACCAGACCTTATTTTTCTTCATTTCACAAGCAGCAAAGAAAATGCTAGAATTTCTAATTCTTAGTATCTTTCTCTCTCAGACCAGTTTTTTTTTTTTTTTAACAATTTTTGTCCTTGGAAGTTAAAAAAAAATAACCATTTGCTATGTTTCTTTTTTGTTTTTTGAAGTTTTTTAAATTTTGTTTTGCTTTCACTTACGAGCAAAGATTTAATTCTGTAGTTAAAATTTACCCCAGTGATATTTCTTTTTAATGCTTGGGATATTTTCTGAAGGCAGTGGTTTTAGTTATCATTATTTTTATTGTTGCTGTTGTTATAATTATTTTCTTTTAGCAAAACCTCATTTCAAATGAAACCTTACGTAGAGAACCATGCCATGAATCTGCCAGCCCTGCAGCTGCTGCAGTTGAGCACCATGGGGACCATCCCACTTGCTCCCAGAACTGACCCTGAGTACCTCCAGGAGTCCTCTATGGCCATACAGAGTCAGTTTTACAAAGCACTCTCTTAGGGTAGCCTGAAAGCTTTTATTTCAATAAGAAACAATTCTGATGGTTCTTCAATTCAAATTGGACTCCAAGGCTGGCAGAGGAAGGAGAGCATGGGGAAGTATTTCTCCTTAACTAAAGATTTGGAAGCTGTGATAAATTTCAGTGATATTAACTGCAGACTATTTCATATTCCATATTTCATTACCTCCTTACAGCACTCAGTTACTGCATGATGGTACACAGTTCTAAACTGCCCCCTTCTTTAGTGATACTTTATGTTTTCACATTTATGGTCAGAGAGACTTTTCTGAACTGAGATAGGTAATTAAAGGTTCAGATCAAAATTATGCTAAAATGAGGATCCATTTGAATTTTGACGTTTTAAAGGAAAGCGTGACTGGCTAAGTTATTCTATTTTTAGTATAAACATAGCATATCTGTTTTGCATGGATTATTCTTAGACGTTAGTATTTTTCCTTATGGATTTTCCATTTGAAATATAGATCCCTTCCTTTCTATTATTTGACAAACAAAAATAACATCAAACAGAATTGAGGCTTTTTCTTAATGATGCCCCATAATTCTTTCAATTGTGAAAAAGAAAAATTATTGAATTCAGTTATTTTGATCACTCAGGCTTCTCAAATATTTGTTTGAGTTGCAAGTCATGTACAATTCAATCACAATTGCTCAAGTAGCCCATGAGTACCTAAGGAGCAATGCCTTTTTTTCCTAAAAGTTTCAGCTTCTAAAATTAAAATATATATATATATATATACATATTCTTAACCTCTCACTCTATTAGGAAAGCAAACACAAAGAAAAGCTCCATGTATAGGTTTAACATCAGATAATGTATTATCAGAAGAGGTAAAAGCTATACATCTGGTACTGACAGCTTCATCTTTAAATAACCATCCCACCCGCTGCTAATTATTTGGCCAAATACAAGACAATTTATGGCAAATTTACCAATTAGTTTTTAAAGTTCCTGTTAATCGTAATCATGAATGTTCACCTTTACGATTTTCCTAAGATAAGAAATTTAGTTTAAAATTGTAACTGGCATTCACTCTATGATTTTCCTTCTGAATAAATTTTAGACAAGCCAGGCCTCTTCACTGTGGAAAGAATGAACAGTGTGGTTACTGAGAATTAAAACATGCCTGGGAGCTCCCAATCAAATTAGACATTAATTGGTCTGTTCTATTTCAAATAAAATGAAAATGGCTGCTTCTTATAAGAATTTTTCAAATACGGATAAATAGTGACTAATAATGTCTCACGTCATTTTAAATTATGGAATATTTTTTTGTCCCCTAAAGCTGCAAATCAACTATGATCTTGGAAATCTTATAATACATATTCTTCAAGCAAGAAATCTTGTCCCTCGAGACAACAATGGTTATTCTGACCCTTTTGTTAAAGTGTATCTTCTTCCGGGGCGAGGGTAAGTAAAAGGCAGTATCTTCTAAGTATCCTCTCGTTACAATGCAGCCTAGTAAGTAGTACAGAGTCTTCCATTTTCTGACTTCAAATTCTCACTTTAATTGAGTTCATTATCTATCCCTTAGTTTTCTCCACACATCTTATTTATTCCGAATTAGTAGATAAGGTGGAATTAAAACTTTGTAATTAAGCCTTAAAAGGGTCTAGAAGATCAATGATAATAATAAAATTTGCTTCCAGGACAACAAATCGGCATTTCAATTCCGGACACTACTTCTATGAGGGATGACCAATTAGATTGTGAAATAATTTAAGGACTTGTTTGTAGCAGATTGAAAGAATTAGCTTACTGTTCCCAAATTTACTTGAGAAACGAATGTTCAAGGACTTATGAGTTATAACTTATTTTCATAGGATGTGTGTATTATCTAATATATGAGATGTTAGTAAATGTCTCCAGTCGTATCTTTATTTATATGAGTATTTCCAAATCAATGTTTTAAAAATAATTTTTAGAAAGTTAAAAAGTGTTGACTTTGATAAATGATAAATATCTCTTTGAATCTCTCTTGTGATATAAAAATTGTTGATATAAGGCAAGTGTGCTTTTCGGAAGTATTTAATTTTCACAAAAGAAGTGCAAATTGCTGAGTTCTGGTATATAAATCAGTACTCCAGGATGGTTTCAAAGCAGTGATTTGGGCTCTACAGATTATTATACTTTATCTGAACAATATATATTAGCCAAATCAGCATAATGGAAATATGAATAATCAACATACAGAGGTAATACTAAAATGAACTCTGAGATGGTAATTTGAAAAATCTGGTTATTTTTTGTTCATTTTTCTTTTCATTTGGTGACATTTGAATCTTAGTTTTTACTTGGAAATTTTCAATTTGGTCCAGTATAGAGAGAATATAATAATGACCCACTCTATATATCTGTCACTCACTTCAGCAGTCATCACTTACTGGCCAATCATGTTTCACTTTTATCCTTATTTTCTCCCTTCATTCAAATTATTCTGAAGTAACTCCCAGCTATAATAATATTTGTGCAAATGTTTTAGTATATATTTCTGAAAGATGACTGATTTTAAAATAATTTTACTACCATACATAACCATGTAATTTTCAATTTTCAACTAATTCCTTAATTTCCCCAGGTGCCTCATAATATTTTCCTAGTTCTTTTGATGACCTAATTGATATTTATAGAACATGGCACCCATTGATAACAAATTACATATTCTTTTTCAAGTACACATGGAGCATTCACCAAAATAGACTGTTTTCAGGGCCAAAGACAACCCTCAGCAAATTTAAAAACATTGAAATCATACAAAGTGCGTTCTTTGACTGTAGTTGGTTTGTCTGAACAGGATCCAAATTAGATACTGCAATTGAATCTGCTGCTTGATAATTATATCACCACAGGCAGACCACCAATTTCTTTGAGGTTCAGTTTCCTTGTCAATGTTGAGAGCCAAGGTAGAAGCATAATTTTTATTTTTTCAGAACTGAATTAGATACTAGTCAGAAAATAATTTGTAAATTACCAGATACTATATTAAATTCAGGGTACAGCCTTTAATTCCATGCTTCCCAATAATATTATTTAGAAACTTAGAATCATTGATACAATCATTCTAGTTTTAATTTACCACACATTTTGAAAAACCATCAATGATTTAACAGATACCATTAGCCACATAATCCAGGATAGGAAAGTTTTTATGTTAATTAACTTATATCTACATATAGTATTTATAGCCATATTTAGCAATATCTTTTGAAGTGAGAATAACAAAAATAACAACAAAACAGCAAACAAATAACTTCATTCTGCCTTTGAGTTAGGTCATTTGACCTCCAGTGTTATTTAATAATGGTATTATGAGAGAAGGGGAAATCATTGTCAAAGATTTGCTTCTAATTAGCAGTTGCTAATAAGTGAAGAAAAATAACACTGTCATTTTTTTTTTCTATCTTCTCCAGTGATATCCTGGAGTATCATCTTTTTGGCAATACGGGAGTACCGACCTTTTATTTATTATAGGACATGTATCGATGAGAATGTTGCAAACTCAAATAACCAGAAAGAACAGTCAGGTGCCATGAATCTGTCAGTCCACTGGGCTGACTAACAGGGCATGGTGAGAACTGCAGTGCATGGAGAGTAAACGCCCCACCTAAAGCCACCATCATGCCACATGGTGAACAAAACACTGCTGGGGGAGGGCTAACTCAAAGGCAATAAGCTGTCCACGCTCTGTTCCTAGCTCTTTCATTAAGTTATTCCCAATTACTACAGTGTCCAAGACCCTGGGATTTATCATGTCTTCGAGGTATTATTTTACTAAGATTTTTTGTTTGTTTGTTTTATGTCATTTATAGGTTGTGGTATAGTTCCTCTAATTACTTTTCTCATATTTTCTTTCTTTTTTCGGCTCCTAACTTTTTTCTCCTGTCTTTCCTACTTTCCTGTTGTATCCCTCACTCTCGCTCCTGGAATCAATGCAGTCAAGTCATGGTTGTCCAGAATGCAAGGTAGAGTTGGTTCCCTTTCAGTGTCAAGCTATGTTGTTATGTCTAGAATTATACTTTTTTTTTGTTTTGCATTTCTATGTACATTCTTGCTCTTCAACTTGGGTGGTAAATTTTATTTTTCTGTACTTTGTTATCTATTGAATCAGGCCTATAGTAGTTGTTCTGACCACATTTATAAATAGCATTAGCAGATGTGTCCAAGGGAATACAAAAGAGTAGAGACTGGTAAAAAAATAGAAAAGGTGAAGGAAGAGAAGTGCCGAAAAGTAGCCATCATTAAAGGTTTTACTTAGAATCTACTCACTAAAACTTATTTAGCTTCTTACATAATCATCATGGCTTAAGTTCTCTGGGGTCTTCTATTAATAGTACAAAAAACTTCTACAATCATTTACCAAAAAGAGTTAACCAATCTGAATGTCCAGTGCTAGGTGTTGATCTCATCTTAAACACAACAGGTGCCTGATCTTTCCCCTTCACTTGAACCTGATATTGAAACATTTTCTTGCTTTTATAACTTCCGCACCACGATATTACTGCTATGCAACATAAGATGCAAGCCTGCTTGCTGCAGTGTGTTGGCGGCAACATAAGGGCATCCTCTTTTGTTTTGAATAGTAGGAGAGTATTTTCTGATATCTCATAACAAGTTGCAATGAAGGCTACCTCTTAGTGGGAGACTTTTCACATCTCCTCATTGTATTATCAATTTAATGTGTCATTTAGTTGGAAAGGCAAATCATGTGCCATCTGCAGCAACAGGGTGATGGGGATTTTAATCTCACCCAGATTTTTAATGGTATAACATTTGTTTATGTCTTTGACATTAAACTTTGACATTTTTATTAATCCTGACAAACTGTTGCCCAAAAGAGGCTGTTTCTGATTTTTAAAGGCATAAATATTTACATACTTTGAACAATGGAATTAGTCACCACAGCCTTGAAGCTGCCCAGAAACTTTTGTTTCCTTATAGCCACACAATTATGACAAACAGTAAAATTGGATGCCATAAGGGATTCCTTGTAATAGGCTAGTTTTCTCAATCCAGATCTCTCAGGCTGATTTGAAAAATTAGTTTTGTTTCCAAGTGATAATGTCATATTTATGTATTTATTTATTTATTTGATACAGAATCTCACTATGTCACCCTTGGTAGACACAAAAACACAGCTCACAACAACCTCAAACTCTTGGACTTAAGCAATTCTCTTGCCTCAGCCTCCCAAGTAGCTGGGACCATAGGCGCCCACCATAATGCCCCACTAATTTCTTTGTTGTAGTCATCATTGTTGTTTAGTGGGGCCAGGCTGGGTTCAACCCCACCAGCCTCCATGTATGTGGTTGGTGCCATAACCACTGAGCTATGGGCACCGAGCCATAGTGTCATTTTTAGAAGAGACATTATCAGTCACATTTTTCAGAATCTCCCTGTATTTTATCTAGAGAAAATAGGAAAAAATTATCAGAATGACAGTAATTATGTTTAACTTAAGAAAAGAGCCTACTTGGTAATTGTAAATAATGGTAAATACAGTCTGGGGTGTCATAGCTTACTATTTAAAATATCTAGAAATCACTTTCATTGTATCTTTGAGAGTTGTCAGTGTGAGAGGGAATTATATTGACAAGTTACTGACGAGTTAGATTATGGAGGGCAATGAGTGATGACCTTAAGAATTTAAGTTTAAATTTTGATCCTGACACTAAAAAGCTGTGAGATTTCTCTAAAACCATTTCCTCTTCTGCTAAATAGTAATAAAAGTCTCCTTTCTAGGATTTTTGTGAAATTCCGGAAGTAACACATCAAAAGTAACAAGCATAATGTCTGTCATATAATAAGCTTTCAAGAAGTCGCTATATTTATTATTGCCAGTAGTATGTATCATAAAGATCATGTAACCAATGACCAGTTATCTGCAGATAGGAGTACTTGGGTGAATGAATTACACCAAATTATTTAATACTGTATAGAAAACTATACTTTCCTTTATTCTTAATTTTTTTTAAGTTGGGTTAATTAAAAGTTATGCTAATCCAGTTTTGTTTCCTTTCATTTTCTCTTCCCACCCTTTGATCAATCTATTTGATCAAGTTCTGCAAGGCCAGATGTCAGGCAAGATGAGAGAATGACAAGGAGTTCACAAACTCCATACTTGCCCCTCGTTAAAAACGACATGGAAATGGACATATGTGAAAGTTCTCAGCCCAGTTTTCTCTCTTTACACTGTTAGGCAAAATGCACATTTTTTCTCACTAATGAGATTTTTGAGATGATCGTGAGCATCCCAAGTCCAGCGGACTTTCTGGCTAGACTTTCTTCAAACAGCCTGGGGAGCACATCGAACTATTTCCCGTGGGACCTATATACGGCAGAGACAGGAGTTGTCTGTATTTACAATATGCTGTCCAGATACATGTTATTTCAATAGATTTTAAAAGAAAACAAAGAAGTATAAGCATGTTTTAAGGATCCACTGAACGAGTATTTATTTAGCACCAAGTAAGTGCCAGACACTGTGCTGGGTGCAGGGATTAGAACCAATAACACAGCCCTCGGCTCTGCCATCAGGGAGCAAAGGGGAAAATAAGCGGATCATAAACACACCATTGCACAGAAAGACAGAGGTTACCAATGGCATCTGATTGCTCTACACTTCTCTCTCATCACCTGATGCGCACAGTGGGAGGATGGCCATCACGCCCCTGGGGTGAAGGACTCAACCGCAACTTCAACCCCACCTGAGAAACAAAAACAACAACGATGGAACCTAAACATTTGTACCCTCATATTAACCTGAAATTTAAAAAAAGAACTCATTGCAAGAGAATATTTTTTAAAATAAACCTCAATTTGTAAGCCAGTAAAATAAAACAATAAGGGTGGTGCCTGTGGCTCAAAGGAGTAGGGCACCTCACCGGCCCCAGATGCTGGAGGTGGCGGGTTTAAACCCAGCCCTGGCCAAAAACTGCAAAAAAAATAAATAAATAAAATAAGATAATAAATTAAGGGAAACAACCCCAGAGTTGAAAAAAATTGTACAATATTTATATAATTATGTAATATTCATATAAATAATTGTTTATCTATGTAGTGATTTCATTACAGGAAGAGAAAAGCCATATTTTTTTCAAAACAAATAGCTTCAATGTTTTTGATCATTTTATGAAAGTAAATTTAGGCTCGGCGCCTGTGGCTCAACCGGCTAGGGCGCCAGCCACGTACACCTAAGGTGGCGGGTTCGAATCCCCAGCCCGACCCGCCAAACAACAATGAC